GGCAAAATAATGCAATGCAAGAGGACTAGCGTGGAGGGGAAGAGCTTTCTAAGCATCATTATTGTTCCTTTTTTCGGTCGAGTACTCGAATCAACATAATGACAAAACCTGTCATTGTAGACAGCGCCGAAACCGGACTAATGCATGAAAACTGTGTAAACAAAGAAAAAGATAGGAAGAGCAACTGACACTAACAGTTAGGAATCTTCTAGGTGACATATCAATGTGGCAAGTTGTGGATAGTGGGTAGGACTATCGGGTTTTACTGTCGTCTACGAAAGTGTTTGTGTGTGTTGTATGAACATCGATTTCGACGAGCTCCACCATGTGCTCAAGAGCAGAGACGGTAAATGGAGCTAAGTACGACATTATAGTTAAATAGACGCGCAAATGCCTAGCTCGCTCTAACCCACCACCGCATTGAACCGGTGACAAGACCGAAGTTGAGATGACCGGGCAGGCTTTGGGCGGAAGCCGCTTTCTCCAATGCAGCCTAAAACACCGCCTAAACTTAGCCTTTAGTGACAGTAGACTTTGCGCGGGTACTACTTAACTGTCTACCCTCACTCACCTAAAGTAGGTGTCCAGCCAGACTCTAGGAAGCCAGGGCTACTACTTCTACGACTACTACTGCTACTACTACTGTCATTTTTTATACTACTAACTATAGTGTAGCTGAGTGATAGTATTTGCTTGTACTATTACCGACTATTTTGTAAGTCAGAAGTGATGCTAATTAAATTCAACACTAGGCTCATATCCCCTCAATCTCAACATGGAGTGTAGAAGTATTGATGCTAACACTGGCGCTACCATTTGTCGGAGGTGACGCAGAGTTAGCCAACGCCAGGGCTCATACTTCTTGATCTCAGCAAGGAGTAGGCATCTTGGTTTCGACTGTTCTAAGTAAGTACACGTTTGGGGTCCTGAGCACAGCAGAGCTTGCCTAGGTTTCCATCCTCTCAAATCTGTCCGTCGGGCTGCGTACGTTTCTATTAGGGTTTGACTACGAAGGTACCCAGTTCGCCAGCTGTGATAATTTTACCCAGTAAATAGGCTACAGCTTCCATACATGGCATCAGTCGCAAAGAGCGCGTGTGACAAAGGAGAGCTAGAGAGGTCAGGCTGACCTGCTGAACAAAGCCTCTGGTAATTGCGACCTTTTATTCATACTTGTTTGAATAGATCAAAAGGCGATTTGTAGGAAGATAGTTCTCTGCCACCTGCCCTTTGACGTAAGACCCCTTTTAGTACGGAAGTGATGGTAATGCGGAGCCTTTTAGGAGCAGAAAGGAGACTTTTTTACTGGTAAATAGAAAGGAAAAAATCAAATTTTCTGTTGCTTGCTTGCTTTAAGGTATTAAAAAAGCAGTTTGTAGGAATAAAGTTCAGGGGGTGCATATATACATGCCCAACCGGAATATTGTATATTCATCCTCTAGATCTCAATGAAAATGGCATACATAGTCGGCAATAAAATCGGTAAATTGCGCTGATGTCTAAAAGGGAGTAAATTCAACAGGAGGTTTCAACATTTATGAATATTTCCTACTGTACTTATTTCAGTAGATACTTATATTAGTCCCTGTAGCAACGAACATTCATTGAACAGGAGACAATTAATAGCCAGCAGGCTCGCTCATTATGTAAATAATGTTGTTGGGTATCACTAGCCGATGACGCCTAACAAGGCAGAAAAGGCCTTCCT